AAAAGGTCATGGTCGTCTGGGTGTTTTGCGGCCCAACATCTCACTCTGGCCAACGTGTGATCGTTGTTAACGTTTTTGTATAGTAAAGTGTGGACGTTGCGGCTGATTCCCAATTACAGGATAACAGCGTTCAATGGATATTGAGAAGAGTATTTACCTTTTCTGTGGGAGATAGCGGTGTGATTGGTATAAAACGTGAGGTTGTTATGTTAACTGTACGTCGAGGGAGGTTTGGGATTGTTGGACTTAAAGGTAGGTGAATGTTTGTTTTTTCTAAAGTGGGAGGGTTTGGGGTGGGTGTGTGTGATGGCGGGAATATGGCCAAAGTATCTACGAGGGTGAAAAAGTGTTTATAGGGGAATGGGAGGTTAAGGGAATGTGAGATTGTACTATGAGCTTTGTTGATGGTAAAGGAACGGAGGGAACATTGCATTATGGGTTTTAAGTAGGTTACTAGGGGTATTTGCGCAGCTCCAGTAGAAGGGTTGTTCCCCATGTATGTGGGAAATATATGGCTCGATTAGTAAGTTGAAATTACGGCCTAGGGTTGGTGAAGTCATGTTTCTTTTTTTCATGGTCTATTGCCGTCAGGGGCAATACTACGATTCCAGAAGAGTACGTGGAGGGAGGCGGGTGTGGGTTTTGTGGTGTGAGGAAGACACGGCTTTTTTCATATTGTCTATTTTTGCGACGTTTTAGAAGATGTCAGGAGTTGGTGGGTAGGGTGGAACAGGGGTGGGAGGCAGAGGCAGTGCAGGTACTCCGTGCGTTAAGTCTCGACATCGGTGGATTAGACCAGGACGTTTTGAAACTGGCCTTTAGATTATATTATGTGGGATTACATTAATTTCCGTGGGTAAATGAGGGGGGAGGAAAGGGGTCTGTGAGGTGAAAGGGCGTGTCCTTGCAATAACGTTTTATGTACAAGTGTAGGAATAGGGAATTGTATGGGAGGAGGTGGGATGAGGGTTTTTCGCGGACTGTTATAAATGGCTCTCATATTGAAACCCTTGTGAATCTGGATAATTTACGGGCATTCTGAATAAGTGTCGTGTAGTCAGTGGGCACTAGCTGGCCTCGTTCTTGGGGGGGGGGGTGAGTTGCGTGAATATGAGTTTGGGCATGAATGTTTTTTTAGTTGTTATGGAGTGTGGGTGTAGTTTCAGGGTTAGTTACTTTTGTACATTTTTTGTACAAAAAAATGACTGGGGTGCGTTAAAATTTATGTTTTTGATGCTTTCCTTTGTGTAAAGACACGTTGTATTCTTGTGTCACTAGTTTTCTTAGTTTTTTGTTTTGATTGTGGTATGAAGGTCCAGATATTTGGGTATATAAACATGTGTATGTATATATATAGTATATATATATATATTTATATATATATCTATATATATATATATATTTATATAGATATATCTATTTATATAGATATGCATGGTTTATCCTTCCTGTTACTGTCAGTCTAGTCTGTGTCCTTTACCTGAGTCGTCCAGTTTATCCTATATAATTTTGCAACATTATGATTTTTGTTTGTGGTCAAACGTTGTTCTTAGGTATCAAGATTGAACACATTTATAGAATGGATGGAAATTGCTGACGATTAATATGATCGTCCAATTTATATAATATTTATTATGTTAATGATTTGTGTTAGAGTTAAATCATTGATGAATTTGTGTCTAAGTTGGAATTTCTATAATCAATTGTATATCTTGTATGCAAAGACATAATCTATTGTTTAATCATCAATGTAACTTGCTTTTGTATGATGTTGCATGTATGTTATATTGGGTTAAGTGGGGTTTCCACCTGTGTTATATATGTTACGCAAAACAGTTAATCTTTTGGTATAGTGTGTGTTTAGTGAAAGTTAGTAGCTTTTATGGTGTGTTTGTCGATATATCTATACGTATTAGTTACTAAAGATCTTTTTTTTCTGAGTTATTTTATGGTGTGTGTATCTTGTTGTACCTCTATAGATTATGTATGGTGATGCTATTTAAGTTTTAAGCAGCCTTGTATTTATGATGTTTTAAATAAAATATAAAAAAAAAAATACTCGATACAACTTATGCTACTCTGTTACCATTTTTTTTTAGCCGAAAATTACAAATAAACTCAAAATATAAACATCTAGAGAATGAGTTCATTTAAGAGAAGTGCGTTAGTCGATGATGAATCTGAGCAGCATTACAATAAGGTTGTTATATATGAAAAATTTATCATGATAACAAAGGTGGAAAATGAAGACTATGGTGTCCAGGATTCTTTCGGTGATGTAAACTTTGTGAAGGTGTGACGCAATTATTAGGAGGACGGGTTGAACATTGACAGCCTTTTATAAAAAAAAGTATGCAGGAATTGCTGCAATTTGGTAATTGTAATTTTTAAGAGGTAGTGATGCCTGTCAATACGTAGTTTTTTACTTGTAACGAGTGTGGGAGCTGAATAGCGGAATCCAATTGTACCTAACATGTCCATCATGGAAAGAAACATAATAGGTCCTCCCTCTTGAAACATGATAGGAATGCCGTATGTAACTCAAATTATGGGCTATACAAACTCGATAGATATTTAGTGGAGTCAGTTGTGTCTTAAACAACAATGTTATACAAAAGCGCTGGATTGCTCCTTATGCCAGGGGGTTTCATGATGTTTCGGTTATATTCGACCAGAGTCTGCAAACTGAACATCATGGTACGCTTGTCGTTTAGTCTGTCCTGAACGTCGTTATGTTAGGTCTGCCTTCGGCATAATTGAGGTCGTAATGCGTCTTGGTACAGTGGTTACCTGGAGGTTACCTTGAGTTTATTCCGGGGATCAACGCCCCCGCGGCCCGGTCCATGACCAGGCCTCCCGATGGGTCAGGGCCTGATCAACTAGGCTGTTACTGCTGGCCGCACGCAGTCCAACGTACGAGCCACAGCCCGGCTGATCCGGCACTGACTTTAGGTATCTGTCCAGCTCTCTCTTGAAGGCAGCCAGGGGCTTATTGGCAATTCCCCTAATGCTTGATGGGAGGCTGTTGAACAGTTTTGGGCCCCGGACACTTATGGTGTTTTCCCTTAGTGTACCAATGGCGCCCCTACTTTTTTTGGGGGGCATTTTGCATCGCCTGCCCAGTCTTTTACTTTCGTAGGGAGTGATTTCTGTGTGCAGATTTGGGACCATTCCTTCCAAGATTTTCCAAGTGTAGATTATGATATATCTCTCCCTCCTGCGTTCCAACGAGTACAAGTCAAGTGCTTCCAAGCGTTCCCAGTAGTTAAGGTGCTTGACAAAACTTATACGTGCAGTAAAGGATCTCTGTATACTCTCTAGATCTGCGATTTCACCTGCTTTGAATGGAGATGTTAATGTACAGCAGTATATTCCAGCCTAGAGAGAACAAGTGATTTAAAAAGGATCATCATTGGCTTGGCATCTCTCGTTTTGAAAGTTCTCATTATCCATCCTATCATTTTCTTTGCACGTGTGATCGTGGCACTGTTGTGATCCTTGAAAGTGAGATCCTCAGACATTACTACTCCCAGGTCCCTTACATTATTTTTCCGCTCTATTGTATGGCCGGAGTCAGTAGTATACTCTGTTCTAGTTATTATCTCCTCCAGTTTTCCATAACGGAGTAGTTGGAATTTGTATACATAGGTAGTTGCAACATGATGATTGCAACTAGTTTAGTGGTTTAATGAATCATGTTGGTAATATTATAGTGATGATATTTGCGGATGATAGTTGATAATAATGATAGTTATGGCATTAAAATTAAGAATAGCCTAGTTATGATGATGATGATAATGATAGCGGATAATAATGGCAGAAATGACATTACTATTAAGAATAGCCTAGTTATTATGAGAAAGGAAGCCTGAATAGGAAAATTCACACAGGCATATTAACTGACATCATGGTACGCCCGTCGTTTTGGCGCGAATGTTGATATTGAATATGTTAGGTCCGTCGGTATAACTATTGAGGCCTAACCCGTCTAGGTACAGTGGTACAAGGTACACATAGATGGTTGTAACATGGTGATTACAACTAGTTTAGTGGTTTAATGAATCAGGTTGTTGGTAATATTGTAATGATGATAATAATGATATTAGCGGATAATAGTTGATAATAATGATAGGAATGACATTAAAATTATGAATAGCCATGTTATGACGATGCTAATAATGATATTTGCGGATAATAATGATAAGAATGGCATTGAATCAAGTTGTTAATATAATGATATTAACTGATGATAGGTGATAATAATGATAGGAATGGCATTCAAATTAAGAACAGCCTAGTTATTATGAGAAAGGAAGTCTGAAAAAGAAAATTCACACAGGCATATTAACTTACACTGCGAGTATTTCCTGAATGTTCTGGAAGGTGCTGCGACACCATTGACAAGTGAGGTATTTTTTTCCCTTTATTTCATTAGTTAGAAGGTTATAAATGAAGATATGTAATTATCCAATATTGCAACTTTCTACGGCACATTACCTGTTCCCGGCGGTTAGAAGCTTAGTGCTGGCTATTAACTATCTTCTAATATTTTCCTCATGCTATCTGCGAGGCCTACCCCCACCCGACCCCATACGGGGAGTGCGGCGGGGGTACCGGTGTGTGGGTTGGCATCCCGCTTGCCTTCCGCAGAGAGTTTGAGACTGGCCGGTGCCTCCGCACTATCAATCTCTGAAAACTTACTCTACTCCTTCTGTTGCTGTCTTTGCAACATTGCACAGGTCCTGGTGACGCACTGAGAAGTGTGAACGTACTTGAGCTTAAGATTTCCACCCCCACCCCCCGTGGTTTCTCTTGCATATTTGTATACGCAATAAGATCACAGTAAACAGGTGATATCACGAAAGCACTTGGAATTTCACTATTTTTTCACAGTGGTTGTTCTGCATATATATGTAATGTATCACATACAGCAAACATTTCTGATGTAATACAGTGTTTACTTTTGAAGAAGCAACTGGTAACATTTTAGTGCACTCTGCTGAAGACCAATACTGTTTTAGCCCGGTGTTCATCAAAATAACAAAATGTACTAAAAATGCCCAATCTTCAGATAAAAAGCCAAAAATCAAGATGGGCGATGAGGTTGGAGACGCAGGCCGGAAGCCCCGTATCCTGGAGTGGGAGGGTTCCACACCTCTCCCACCTATACCTGACACTAATTACGCTGCTCACGTTTTGAAGATAATTGCAAAATACGGCGATGCTGTAGGAATGGTGAGTTATTTAAGAAAAACGTACATTAATCTATCATTTGATATTCTTGATCTTTTGCCTGATAATTTTTAATGAACTGAAAGCTGTATTTCACAGAGCAGGATTACCGTGGCTGTGTTGACACTAGTTTTTCTCATGAAGTAGACTTGTTATATGAAAAGTCAAAGAGCTTTATGTTATGGTTATCATTAATATGGCGAAGGTGAATCATTCACGAGAATGTTGTATTTATCCAAAATAAGCAGCTTTGTGAATCATTGTTAAGTTCCAGATAGAACTCATGTTGCAATAAAAATGTTGAAACTTAGAGATTCCCTGAAGTGATGCTGCTCTTCACTCAGAGGGACTATGACTGAGGAGAGGCCTTAACATGCAGGCTGAAATTTACATAGAGTTAAAAGCTAGCTATATGTATATTTTTTTCAACGCGGATGTAAATTTGCAATGACTTTCAAATATTAAAGTGTGATTAACAGTGGTTAATGGCACAAACGAGAAATAGAACAGAAGTGGTTAATTTATTTTGGCTTACTGAGGCCTTCTTCAGTGGTATTCTAGGCTGATCTCTACAGTGCTTTTATCTTCTACTTTTAACTGTCTCCAATTGTTTTCGTTTACATAATTATTTTGATTTTTTTCAGGTAAACGCAGAGACTCAAGAACAGCGGACGTTCTCTGAATTGTGTGATCTTGTGCCACGGGTGTCTGCAGGTCTCAACGCCGCTGGGGCCACACTGCGTCATGCCGTCCTCTACCTGGCCCCCAACCATGTAGACTTCCCACTGGTGGTGCTATCCGTCCTGTACCGCGGCGCTGTCTTCGTTCCTGCCAGCCCTTCCCTCAGTACAGGTAAATCTTTTGACAAGAATTGGTTGCGTTCCTTTGCTGGTTTACAATATATGCGAGACAATTACACAGCCCGCCCTCTTAATAACAGTATTTGACTATTTCTCCGACAGCCAAATGAGTGACTGACTCACGAAATCGTAATGACACGATTGCAAACAAACCATAACAGGTGGGGATAGAACCTGCGATCAGAGAGTAGCGCGTCGGTCTGGAGTTTTATGACTCTCTGATCGCGGGTTGTATCCGTGGAATGGTTTAAATGAATCACTGCTTACTGAGCTTTAAAGCATTTATCTGTGGGCTTCAAAAATTTTTAATGTTTTTTATCTTGTGTTTCATCTCTTGGTATTGTTGCTTGTAATAATTGGTTATTTTTTGTAGAGAGAGAATAATCTAGCCTAACTAATCTAACTAAACTTAACGTAAGCATACCGTATACAAGAAATCCATACATATTTTGCAATAACAGGTTCTTTAACAATACCCCGCGGAGACCAAGCTATTCATACAAACGAAAATTGCCCCTATAGAGTCTGCCTCGCCTCGATGATAACAGTTAGTCTCGTCCTGTACAGTTCCTTCCTCGTTGCTTATAATAAGCAAAGACTTTCATAATAGGCACAGATTACCCCATGTTAGGCAGAATCTCCATTAAGATCACTTAGCTTGTACTCAGCGATGTGAGAAGCATTTTTTAACACATAAAGGGAGTCGTTATTTATAATTTTTTAAATAGTCCGAATTTAAGTGAAAGTGTATATATATATATATATATATATATATATATATATATATATATATATATATATATATATATATATATATATATATATATATATATATTTATATATATATATATGAGAATATGATGCTCTCGGAGCTTCATGGTGATAGTCCTGAAAATAAAAAAAAACATAAAAATAAAACATTTTATTTTGATAGTGTAAGTGCAAGTTTTCGGGGAAAATGGAGATAGGAAAATTGTTGCAGGTGAGTGTTTATGGTTTATGGTTTAATTGAATTTTCTGTGATCATGAAAGTTTGAAAATACTATATTGGTGTTTAAAAAAAACTGAAAACGTTAAAAACAAAATTTTGCCATGATGTTATTTTTAATGGAAATAACATCATAGAATTGAAGAAGAATGCCTTTGTAAATAGTCAGTAATAATATTGACGATTGTCTCATATTTACTGAAGCTTTTCCTGTAAAGTTTCTAAATAAATTACTTTGATCTAATCGTAGAGAAGAAAATATATCATGTGTCTTCATAACGTTCAAGTTTGTTATCTAACAACCAATGTCGCCTCAGGTACTGGTATCTAGACATTTAAGTGGATGTGAATGTGATTGTTACGTTGCCTGTAATAAAAATTTTCTTTGCACCAAGAGTCTTCCATTGTTGTCAGTAATACTTGCCGTACAACACAACCTCTTTTGTCAGAATGCATGTCACGTGTAATATTACGTACCCAATCTGCAATAATGTATATGTTATGTGCAACTTGGAAAAGTATCGTATATGGGATCTATGAAACCAAAATAAATCATTTAGTAATCTTGTATGAAAGTATATGTACTCTTTTGTCGATAAAACTAATTTTATTATTTTCATACAGAAGCGCTCAACCCGTAAGAATCATAGAGGTTTCGTGGGTAAAAGGTACCTGGTTCGTGAATATTTATAGCTTGTGAGAGACAATATACCGCGTATGCGACAACGTCCTTTTATCCTGCTTGGTCTCTAGGCACCTTATATATTATGTCATTATAGATGCTAAAATACTTCTTGTGTAGTTGCAATTCAAACACTGTAGTGATTCTTCATCTAATAAATTAATAATAATAAACAGAATCAATTAACTTTCTTGACGCATGAAATCTGATTTTTAATTTAACAAGGAAGATTTTTTGCAGTATTAAAATATAATGGCAAAATAATGTTTAGGTTTCTCAGTTGCCGAGGTAATAATGTATTTCTAGATATTTTTAGAGATTTCGAATAGATAAAGCAACTAAAATTGCACAGAGAATGTTTAAATCGTAAGCTTTATTTCAGCACTTTCTGAATGGAAACTGTAAATTAGAATACATAAAATAGGTGTTCCCTTGAGGTAATGAATCACCAAATTTAACGAATTTTATTCTTTGGTGATACTTGTCATATTATCACATATTCTTAAGAAGAAATTTGGTTTATCCAACAAAAAGAACAAGAGTAATAATGTTTGATACATGTAAGAGATTTAGGTTTACAATGCATTTAAATTAATAATCCAATTTTGCATCATTAGCGTTTTCTCTCTGATGGCAGATAATGTATATAAACCGACCTTTATTATTGGTCAGTGTAGCTAACACGACTTGGACTTCCAGGCAGGCCAGTTTCGTTGCCTCCTAAGAACTAATTAGGGAATTTGAACACGAATAATCTCATCAAGTAGTTAGTATGAAAAATATAATAAGGATCTTAACCAAATATGTTGTGAAATGAAGAAGGTTGAGAACAACACTACAGGATACTTGTCTTCAAACTCTTAGTCGGCCAATTCCTTATTTGATGACTACCGTGAAAATAAGAGTTTTAAACAGAATTCAGCCAAAAATCAAGGTTATGCATACCTTCATGTTTGTAATTCTCGTGATAACATTTATTCAATCATTTCAAATGCAATTTACGTCGTTCTTTTAAAGAATAATTACAAATTAAGCAACCCCCTTAATAAAACCTTTCTTAAGCAAAGAAAATGTGCAACATTCTTCTTCGTATTTAGTGACTTATATCATCTTGTACTAATTGAAAAGACGAGTTGGTCTGTGTGATGAAAGTGAGTGGTGTTCGCTGGGCTGTGGTTGACATCACTGTGGTGGCCAAGCTGGAGGCTGCCATCTCCCACCTGCCTTCCGGCACCATTAGGAAGATGTGGGTCTTGGGAGACGTACCTGGAAGATCCAACCTTTATGATCTGGTGCATTTTCACCCATTACCGCCAATCACTAAGGTAAGAAATCAACAGTAGGACGTAAAGCTCGTCAGATCCCTGACATAACGTATTACGAACCTAAATGATAAACGACCAGATACATAAGTGATAACTCACCACATTCATAACCAATAACTCATTCTGCATGTGACTGATAATTTGTCATATTCTTGACTGATAACTTGTAATTTGCATGCCTTATAGCTCATTAAATGCACGAAAGATAACCCATCGTATGCATAATTGATAACCTATCGCATGTATGACTGATTGCATACATTTATTCTTCTGAATGTACCAAATGTGACTGAGAAAACTTGCGAAGGAAAGTAGATAGATGACCACTTAACCATTAAGCAAATTTTTCGAAAATGAACCACTAATGGAGCGGACTGGTCTCAATATTCACCCTGCATGTGAGTCTTGAGTAACCCATAAAAATAAGGGAGACTTGCATTGGTTGTTTTGAACTGAAGTAGAATGTCATTGTTCTTTTTCGTTATTTCCAATGGCTGGTACTTCTTTGTAGGATAATGACATTCTACTTTAGTTCAAAACAACCGATCCAAGTCTCTCTTTTATGGGTTACCAGAGATCCATTGAGACCCATCTCCAGTAGAGGGTCATTTTCGTACAAATTAGCTAAATGTTTAATTATCTGGTGTTCTATCTCCTTTCCTCGGCAAGTTTTTTTTCCCATTGAGAAAGCAAAAAAAAAATATCGACCTGCAGAATGAAAATGTTAAATATGGATGTGGACTCCTTGTTCATTAGGATTTCTGTCGATGATATCCTGAATTTTCTCGCCGCACATCGCTACCACATCAAAAGGAGTTCACAATTTCCATCCAGAAAATCTTAGCCCTTACCAATACAAATGTTTCCTCTTTCAGCAATGAATTCTGCAAACAGAACTTGGTTGCGGTATAGAAAGCCCACTTCTCTCCCGTACTTACTAATCTATACCTGGGATACTATGAAACTACAGGGCTTCCCAGGATCAAACCACAGACTTGTTCTGGTACAGATATGTTGATAATGTCTTTACCACATGGGCCGACTTCATAAACAGATCTGAGACATTTCTGGAGAATTTTAACTATTTTGTTCTTTCTATGAAGTTTAAAGTTGAATAGGAAACACACAATGAACTAACATTCCCTTGATGTGCTCATCACTAGAAATAACGAAGAGTCCAATTTTTCAGGGAGATCGGGTTATTAGGCCAGACTCCCTCAGAACTTGGACTTTTTCCCAGGTACAGAGAGCGCAGGTTTGAATCTTGCTTTTGACTTAGAGATAGTACTTATTTAGCATTCATTTTCTTCAAATATGGGTGCATTCTTGAAAAATCACAGCTATTGAGGACGTGGGATGTTTCATATATTATCGCCGACACATATTGGAGATAACCTTCTTCATCCTATTCCTTATCACAGTCATATGTAAGGTATTCTGCCACCATCCAGCAACACGACCAGTAACTGTGAACTAACATTGTGAACTAACTGTGCAAATATTACCCTCCCGGGTAATATTTGCACTGTGGTCTTTATGGTTGTGAGGAAAGTAATATTTTTCCATTGAGCTGATGATCAAAGTTGAAGGAAAGGATACATGAAAGGATTTTGTTCCCAAAATTGTTGCAGGATGAAGTACATAGCAAAATGCTATGGTCTAATTTTTGAAATAAAAAGGTATTATGCGAATAGTTATTTTTTCTATCTTCATGTTAAGACCAGTAGCTGTTGTAATCAATTACATTATCAGCCACACACAAGTAACACAACGTTTAATTAACCAAACTGGCTAGCATATACATCAAAAGCTCTTAAGTGAATATCTAGTATGTACATTGAGAATTTCATCTCCTGCATAGAGATGAAAATATTGTTGATTGTTTGAATATAAGTAAACTGCAGCATTAATGATCATTGTGCAATGTATAGATGTGTAACTAAATAAGATAACACATTGTTTAGTAATGATATACCTATATATAGTTGTAAGTAATAATTAAAGTATTTACTACATGCTCTTGTTGTACTTTCGCCATGTGTTTCTCAAGTTGACGTTAATATCAATTGTTCCAAAAAAAAAAAAAAAAATCAAATCTACAGGAAATTAAAAACTGATTTTCAGAATGTATTCATACATTTTTTTTCCCTGGCAGGCTGAGGGTCTGGAGCCTAGCAGAGCTGTGGCTATTATGATCATGACTTCTGGCACTACAGGGCTGCCTAAGGCTGTCATGCTCACTCATCGTAACCTTCTCGTTTACCTGACAAGAGACAGGTCAGTTTTGTACACGTAAATACTCTGCTGATGAACAGTTGCTGTCATATCACTGAATTGCTGCACAACTCCTAGGAGTTCAAGTGTTTATCACGAGGTATCCCCCGGAAAAGGATGCATACAGTGATTGTTAATTTTTTTTTCCATCATCCAAGATTTTCGTGCAAAACAATGAGAACTCTTCTCCCGATCGGCTTCAAGCTTTTAACACTTTTGTCTCTTCTTAAAGAGGATAATTCGGCTTGTTATTGAACTGTGTAGGTACATATTTGTCAATTTCTTTTAAATAAATTAGTATTTTCGTTTTCATACACGAGCTTTAGGATGCTTCCTCTAATCAACTCAAACTTCCAAAGCTCTGTAACCTCTATTAAGGAAGATTTGAATTTTTGTTTGTGTTTGTATATGACAATTTACTTATTTCTTTCTGTCAGATGTTCCTCTACTGATCCACAAATTTTAGGTGTATTGAAAGTGTTAAGCTATAGGTGCAAGGCTTCTTGAGTTTATTAAGCAAAAGTTCCTGTGAATATTATTAAAAGCCTTACTCACTAGCTCCTTGACTTGTTTGGAGGGTTGAGTTATAGCTTATCAAACTCTTGGGGGAGTTAAACTGAAGCTCCTTTGCCTATTCAAGGTTTTGATATACAATTGCTAAACCACTAGCATTCGCTGAAGTACAGTGGACTGGTAGATGGTATGGGTAATATTTATCTCGGATCTTGAAGAGATTGCAACCCATCCTATCGAATTTTATGTGAATTTCTCTCGTGTAGTTTGTAGCAAATTTCTCAATTTACGTTATTTAGGCTATGGTAGGTTAGATTACATTTAGCTTGGTTAAATAGTTCTCCGTCAGTAATAAATAATTAAATATAGCATATCAAAACGCTAATAAATAAAAAATAAAATGAAAGGGATAAAAAGATGTGATGTGCGAAAACTGGGGCCTACCATGTGCATTTTATAAATATAAGCCAGATAGTCACTGTTTAAGACTCGTTCAACAGTCACCCATTTGATTATCTTAGCAACAGTGAAAAACTCTGTTATTATGAGGATAAGCTGGCGACCAAAAAGTACTTCCAGTTGATTGAGACTTCACCATAACACGGACATCCAAAATGGATACTGGATACTGCTCTTGAGACTGGAATTCTAGCCGGAGGAGAATGAAAATAGTCTCTGACCTAACCATACCCCAAAAATGCGTTAGGGAAAACATGTTCATTGTTTTTTGGACACCTCACGTCTTGTGACGAGCTGGATTCTCTGGTTTATGGGTCTTGGTTAGTCCATAAAGATACTGGAGAGTTGCATACCTGGTTGACAGACATTTAATTAATTAGTCATTTCCTTTCAATAACGTTTTAAGTCCACTTTAATTGTTCCTAGAGTGCCGGGCCAGTGACTGCTTGGGTTTGTATGTTCTGGTCTGCACACACGTTCACATCATTATTTTATCTATTTCCCCCTGGATTACGTGTTTTTAATAATTTTATTGATATATCGGGTACAGTATAATTAACAATGACCCCTAAAGCAAATGATGGTGGCAGGAATAAAAAAGTACTTTACTCTTAAGCAGAAATTTGAATACTCAAATAACCCTCACGAAGGAGACTGAAACTTCTGACGATGTTTCGGTCCGACTAGAACTATTAACTCGTGTGACAAACTAATGATCCAGGTCGGACTGAAACTTCGTCATAAGCTTTTCCTAAGTGCGGGTTATTTCGGTATTGTTCAAGTCACGGTACTGCGCCTTGTATTCTTCAGAAACTTTAATTAATGAAGAAGCTAGAAGATGGCGCTTCAGTGGCCCGAGTGTGTCAGGAGTATGGCGTATTAAAACAGTGTCTGACATTCGTAGAAGCAATGAAAAGTTTACACTATATGTTAAAAAGTACAATGTAGGTGCCAGCCTACGGTGCTTATCACCTGCCCCTGGACTGACGGGACTGATTGCCTTTTCTGCCACTGTCTTCTGTATATGTTTCTACAGTCTTCAGATTATGTCCAAGTAGTGTATTAAGAGAACCACTGGATGACGAAACGTTTACAAAGTCAAGATAACCAGATGTTGCACATATATCTAATTCATTGGTTTATAATTTTTTTTTCAGTTGCTCCTAGGAAGCACATTACAATGGCCCAAGATACAAGGGTCGAAGCAGTATTGTATAAATTGTATGGTCAACAGGGCGTTGCTGGGGTTAATGTTTGTACCATTGAACACCAGCGTGCGAAACAAATTAAGCTGGATTCATTCATTACTCGTTCCACATCTCCCAAACCATCTACCAGTAAGCATGAGCCTTCTTCGTCTCCTCACCAATCAACATCTACTGATCCATGTACATCTCATTCACCATCTACCTGCCTATCTCCCACACCATCTGCAGTGCTTCTGCTGGAGCTTTACAGCTCAATTGACTTTGGATAAAAGTAAAAATAAAAAGTAGAAACAGTGGCCGTAGAACAGTTATAGGTATAAAGGGTGAAATTTTTTTATTAAAAGCACTTTTGTTTCTTTCAACGTCTCATCAATAGCTTATGGCTCTAGCTAGGCCTTAAGTAATGTTCTTGATCACCGCTAGACCACATGGGAAATCATACTATATTGTACATCTGTAAGTTCATCTATCCAGCACAAAGGTAAGGAAAAATACTGTAATGTACGGTATTGTATTGTATTGTGTTGTACCTTTAACCCATTTTCTTTTCAGGTTCACTTACAGTTAATGCTGTACTCAAATTTATTCTTAGTATATCCGGTAGTCCTTTAATACAACGGGCTAAGTATGTTTTATTGGGTGTTTGTCTATGTCCGGTAGTTGAGCGTTTTAAGCGGCGTGCGCCAGCTTATTTGAAACGTTCAACATATCGCAATTTTTGGTAAATCGGACATCTCCATGTTAGTCCGTTTATATCGGACTTTTACCGCACTTAGAATTTTTCTAAGTCTAAAGTTAAAAATAAAATTACTCTACAATTACAAAACTCAAAATCTCGCAGGAGCTCTCATAGGTGCCAATGTTTAATTCACGGTGGTAGGTATAGAGAACTGTGATTTTCAGCTCCATGTCTGAAGGGCAACTGATCAACACTCTTAAGACGCCTCGCTCACTGGGTGGTGTTCCGCATGCACATGCTCCCTAATCGCTGAATATGAAAGGCTTGCCTGCCAGTTAACCTATTCTGAAACATTTACCATTATGAGCAGCAATTCAGTCTCTGTCAGTGTACCAATATTTACATCTTGTTTACATATTTTAATATGTGGTGGACGACTGTCATCTATCGAATCTTAGAACTTATAATGATCTCTGTAAAGTACAACTATTCCTAATAATAATGTAAGAAGAACATTTTGGATAATACTTCCTAAGCAATTTATATGACCTGTTTCAAATATCTTAAATATAATATGTAGTTAATAATTTTTTAAACGAAATAAGTAGAAAATAAGTTATTAACACTTATATATGTCGAGGTATATCTGTGAATATATTCCCGAGTGTTCATGTTTATCCCACTGCTGCCACCATTTGCGTGGGGGTTCGTCAGGAGATGTTGGAGTAAGAAATACACACGATGGATGTTTTGAGGGCGTATAATTAAGAAAGTCTTGAGGAGAAACCCAGGAGCCTAACCTAGTCCAGTATATGCCTAGCGGGAACTGACCGCGAGGTCTCTGGCCTACTGTTCACATATGATGGGTTTCATGAACTCACGGCTAGCAAGGAAGCCTATCTATAAAGTAGCTGGGATTATCTAAGTATACTACACAGTACACAATAACACTAATGACAATATTAGGTTCTAAAGAAAACCTCACTGGTTGCGAAAAGGTTAAATATAGTTTTACCGAAGAGGCCAATTGCAAGTCTGAAGAGGGAACAAGAAGTTACCTAATGAATTATTAAATATATTTGTCTAAATAAAATCTTAATATATCACTGACATATGAGTCAAACACTCAGTACATGACTGTTTTACCAAAAGTAAAGTTTTTGTTTTATAGCTTCTCCTCTTGCATGTCATAAAAAATATTGTAAATTATGAAAATATATTAGGAGAAAAATGCTAAACATAAAGGAGCGTACAACACCTAGGCAATAGAAGGTAATCAAAGTCCTTGAATCTTGAGTTCTTGGTCAACATCAGAATACCTCCTTGAATCTATCAATGCATAATATAAATATTCATTATAAGGAAAAAATAATGATTGTATAATTAAACCCATAGAAATCAAAATTATTTGTGAAATGATTAAATAGACCTTCATACTGTAGATTGATATTAAATACAGTACTACTGTAAAAAAATAGAAGTGGATTTACACATAACTGAGAAGATTTTCAACGGTAAAATGTGTATTATAAACATTTTACATTATAATCACATAGACGGGATAAAGTAAAACAATATTCCATGTAGATGAATGGTTCAGAGAACCAACATGTTCTTAAATTAGACACATGTGCAACTCTTGGGTATCTATGGAACTGATGAAGCCACTGTGTGGCGAAACGTTTCCTCAATAAAGATACCCAAGAGTTGCACATGTGTCTAATTTAACAATATTCCATGTAACAACAGCTGCCACCACAATTTGGTTGCCTATCAATAACTTCTTCTGGATTCATTATATTTTCACAACTTTACTAAAAGCAATTAAAAGGCAGTTTATAAATATTATAGTCAAGTTTCGGTGATAAGAATTACAAAATGAATTTCCCGTTCCTTTTAGACTTTGAACCTTTCAGATAAACCTATTATTATTTTCTTTAAAGATGCGCCTTGACTTTCAATGACACAGACAACCTCAGAACATGTTTAGGACAACGTTGCTGACAGTGCCGTTATATCATATATATGGTTATAATTTTATGATGATTCCCCTGTCGCAAGGAAGCACGGTTGTCATTTTAAGCAAGTTTTCTCCCAAGATGTTTTTGGAGTCTATCCAAAAATTTAAGGTATGAGGAAAATATTGCGTATAAAGCTTAGTTAATGTGATAAATATGCTTTGCAGTCGGTAATAAAAATCTATATGATGTTTCATTTACAATGTATAATGAGTATTTTCAAATTATTTTTGAATCAAGCTAAAATTTACAAAAATATGTTTAAAGTAAAATTAAGTAGATCATATATACATAAATGTTAATAGGGAGAAGATGGTGAAATACCGTGCGAAAAAGTATATCAATATAAATAAGAAACACAGGTATGAGTGATCTGCATATTATTTCCTGAGCCACGAGATATTTTTCAGTAGATAACTGTACATATTACCGAATAAAATATATACATTCGTCGTGCTGAATAGGCAGAAATCAGCGAGTTTGATTTAAACGTCAAAGATCATTTTGGCTGAGTAGTCAGAGTAAAAATTTGTTTATGCAATAAGTTTGCTAAAGATAGTATTTACATAATGGAAAAGTATATATTCTTGATTTTAATTAATATTAAATTTAAACTGATCTGTGATAAATTACATTTGGTAAGGTGCAAAATTACGCCATTTTCAAAAAATATATATGTTTTAAACGATGTTGCTGTGGCTTACAGATTACTACTACTACTACTACTACTACTACTACTACTACTACTACTACTACTAAGGCCTACAGATCAATACTTTACTACTTCTAAGGCTTACAGATCATTGCTGTTACTATTGTCATAGCTTACAGATCACCGCTACTGCTACTATTGCTTATAGATCACTGCTACTACTGCTATGGCTTATAGATCACTGCTACTACTACTATAGCTTACAGATCACTGCTACTACTGCTATGGCTTATAGATCACTGCTACTACTGCTATGGCTTATAGATCACTGCTACTACTGCTATGGCTTGGCCCTCCAGTTTTTGCACTAATCTCTTGTGTGGAACTGTGTCAAACGCCTTCTTGCAGTCCATGAATATGCAATCCACCCACCCCTCTCCCTCTCTTGTCTTATTGCTGTCACCATGTCATAGAACTCCAGTAGGTTAGGTTTGTGACACAGGATTTCCCGTCCCTGAAACCATGTTGGCTGCTGTTGATGAGATCATTGCTTTCTATGTGTTCCATCACTCTTCTGATAATCTTCTCCATGATTTTGCATACTATACATGTCAGTGACACTGGTCTGTAGTTTAGAGCTTCATGTCTGTCTCCTTTTTTTAAAGATTGGGACTACATTTGCTGTCTTCCATGCCTCAGGCAATCTCCCTGTTTCGATAGATGCATTGAATATTGTTGTTAGGGGTACACACAGCGCCTCTGCTCCCTCTCTCAGGACCCATGGGGAGATATTATCTGGCCCCATTGCCTTTGAGGTATCTAGCTCACTCAGAAGCCTCTTCACTTCTTCCTCGGTTGTGTGCACTGTGTCCAGCACTTGGTGGTGTGCCCCACCTCTCCGTCTTTCTGGAGCCCCTTCTCTCTCCTCTGCGAACACTTCTTTGAATCTCTTGTTGAGTTGCTCAAATACTTCACGGTCATTTCTTGTTGTCTGTGTACTCACCCCAAGATCTTTTTCCTTGAGTGAGGTTTGTAGTCTCTGGCCCCCTAGACTGTACTACGTCTGCGGTCTTCTTTGCCTTTTCCCAATCTTCATGATTTTGCACTTGGTGGGATTGAACTCCAGGAGCCAATTGCTGGACCAGGTCTGCAGCCTATCCAGATCCCTTTGTAGTTCTGCCTGGTCTTCGCTCGAGTGAATTCTTCTCAACAACTTTACATCATCTGCAAGCAGGGACACTTCTGAGTCTATTCCTTTCGTCATGTCATTCACATATACCAGAAACAGCACCAGTCCTAGGACTGACCCCTGTGGAACCCTGCTCGTCACAGGCGCCCACTCTGACACTTCGTCACGTACCATGACTCTCTCAGAGAGTCATGGTACAGGTATTCCCTGATCCATTGTAGCGCCTTGTTGTACCTGCCTGGTCCTCCAGCTTATCCACTAATCTTTTGTGTGGAACTGTGTCAAAAGCCTTCTTACAGTAAAAGAAAACAGTCTACCCACCCCTCTCTCTTTTGTTGTACTGCTGTCACCCTGTCATAGAACTCTAGTTGGTTTGTGACACTGATTTTCCATCCCTGAAACCGTGCTGTTTGTCGTTGATAAGCTCATTCCTTTCTAGGTGCTCCAGCACTCTTCTCCTGATAATCTTCTCCATGACTTTGCATACTATGCATGTCAGTGACACTGGTCTGTATAATGCTTCGTGTTTGTCTCTTTTTTTAAAAATTGGGACTACATTTGCTGACTTCCATACCTCATGTAGTTGTCCTTTTTCGATAGATGTGTTGAAGATTGTTGTTAGTGGCACGCATAGCGCCTCTGTTCCCTCTCTCAGGACCCACGGAGAGATGTTATCCGGCCCCATCGCCTTTGAGGTATCTAGCTTGCTTAGCAGCCTCTTCACTTCTGCCTCGGTTGTATGTACTGTGTCCAACACTTGATGGTGTACTCCACCTCTCCGTCTTTCTGGAATCCCTTCTGTATGTGTGTGTGTGCGTGCGTGTGTGTGTGTGCGTGTGTGTGCGTGTGTGTGTGTGCGTGTGTGTATGTGTGCGCGCGCGCGCGCGCGCATTACGGACGTCACCTGAATCTGTATGATGCATAACGGTATTAATGTTTAATAATTTCAATGATGAGTGAATTATTATCTGCTGCAGAATGATGTGAACATCTTGAGTCGTTGTTGCAGGTACTGTCCCTGCCTGTCGTACCCTACTTGATCCAGTTTTTAGACGAGACACCTCTCCTTCGCCAATATGACCTGACATCTTTGAGGGTGATGTTCACTGCTGGATCCAGGCTGCTTCCCACTCGCGTAACATCTCTCAAACAAAAGGTTTTTTTTTCATCGTTGTTCCTAAAGTACTTATAATATATATATATATATATATATATATATATATATTATATATATATATATATATATATATATATATTATATATATATATATATATATAAGGGCGTATATCAACAACCTACCTGAGGACAATGCAGTGGTAAAATTAGGTTTCAAGAATGCATTTAATCTCCTGAAATGAGACGTTGTATTAGCAGCAGTTCAAGAACATTTCCCTGGTCTCTTCCCTTTTGTTTCAGCTGGGTATAGCAAGGAATCAATGCTTCTGTTCGGAGAGCATGAAATTGCATCATCGGTGCAAAGGAGTCCCTCCTAGATGATCTTACACAGGTAATGACACGGGGGCACGAAATGGGTGTCATCCTGAATCCATCCAAATGTGAAATCATCTCAGTCAGTCAACAAGTGATAAATGCAGTGAGATCAAAACTAAAACCAGGAGCAGCAGTCATTGCCCCCACAAATAGTGTCTTGCTAGGAGCACCTCTGGGAAGCATTGCCATTGACACAATTCTCAGGAACAAATTGGAAGAGTTAAGGAGAATGGAACAACGAATAGGCAATCTTGACACCCACGATGCCTTGCACCTTCTCACAAAGTGCTTGAGTCTGCCCAGGTTAACATATTTCCTAAGATGTGTACCTTCATATGATAACCCTATACTGCACGAATATGACAGTATCCTGTGGCAGATTTTTACGAAAGTACTTAACCTTACTCTAGAAGACGGGCAGTGGAACCAAGCTACACTTCCAGTCAGACTATGAGGCATTGGTGTCCGCAAGTCATCACAGATTGCGCTACCTGCTTTTCTGTCCTCATGCATTGCATCCAGAGGGCTTACAGCAGCGATTCTCCCTGAACATCTGAACATCTTAGGTAGACAAGATTGGAGTCCAGGACCAAAAGTTCATTGATGGAGCTATGATCTGGGATAATCTAACGAGCTCTGAAACCAGACCTGCTTCCCCAACAACTACAAACAATCGCACCGGGATGGTCCAATAGTGGAAAATTTAGCCTCAACAATGCTTCAGAGTGTCAGGGAAGGATAGAGCCCGCCTCCTGGCAGTGAGAGCCCATCATGCCGGGGACTTTCTGGTGGCTGTTCCCAACTCCAGCCTTGGCACACGCCTCGACCCACAGATCATCCGCATTGGTGTTGCCCTTCGACTTGCCGCCCCTATTCTCTTCGAACACAGG